ACTCAAAATCTGTTGCCACTGATGGAAACAGGTCACATTTGCAGAAGGGCTGTGCTAACAATATTGCTAGCAAGACCAAAAACCAAAAAAGCTATTCTGAATTTAAATAACAAAAAACTACTCCAAACTTTAAATAAGAATGAGAACACTGCAAAATGCCAGACAAAATAAAGAACCTTAGTTTTTTTTATTTCTCTCGTTTAATTAATTCCTATAAATGACCTTTAGCATTAACAGGTTCAACTTTATCCAGAAAGCCAAGGTTTAAGAACATCTATCCAGATAGGAGTGATTACAGTATTTTGTGGAGGACAATTCAATTTGGGGGACATTTTTCTTCTAAAGGCTGGAACTGCATTCCTGAGTTAACCGATGTGACTCACAATGAGGTAAAATGCAGATTCACTGCACCATAATAATGTTGATGTTACCATTTCTACATTTATCTAAAGCACGGAACACATAATCTGAGGCTGAAATGAAACCTTGTCAGAAATAGTTTTTCTTTATATTGTTTGGAATTAAAACCATATTGAATTGATCCATTAAGAAATTTCTATGTTTTTCAGATCGCAGCTGCATCCTTAGGCAGTGAAACGATTTTTGTAATTGTAATAAAACAACAAAGTGTTGACTTTAAGTTAAGAAAATGGTTGCTTGAATGACTAATACTTCAGATACACAATAAAACCTTTTAAGTTTAATATAAACCACATACAGGTACATACATTTTACAGTATTTCATATGTAAATTTACACAAACTTATTTTTGTTTTAGTCTGCTCAGTGTTTATAGAGCAGGCCTCCATCTCTAAATTTTAATATTGATTTAGTCAAAAGGCATCTACCCTTAAGCAGGGAAAAAAACCCTTCACATTAGAAAAACTCAATTTATAGTACAGACTACAGCAGTGATGTTATATTTCAGCAAGAAATACAACTGAAGCATCTAGCTGTATTTCAATGAAGAAAGGAATAATGAAAGAGTCAACCTCATGTATTTCTTGCTTATTTCTGGACACTGAACTTTGAGTTTGGCAATCTAAATTCAGAATCATATCTCAGTGTTTGCTTTCTCCAAAAGCCAGAAAACATGGGCATCCCTAAACTATATTCTTAACAAGAGCATATCAACACATTTTACAGGAAAATCTCTAGCATATTATTTTTATTTGTTTCCTAAGAGCAGCAGAGTCTACCATGTAAGAACAGTTCCAAATAGTATTTGGAACAATGCTTCTCTAAAGCAGAAGAGGAGACCCTCAGCAAGTCTGCCAATGGCACCAAGCTAGGTGTTTCAGTGGTGCACCCATCAGAGGGATGGGTGGCCATCCAGAGGGACCTGGACAAGCTGGGGAAGTGGGCCCTGGTGAACCTCAAGAGGTTCAACAAAGCTAAGTTCAGGGTCCTGCATCTGGGCTGGGGCAAACAGAGATATCAACGCAGGCTGGGGGAAGACATAGTAGAGAGCAGCCGTGTGGAAAAGGACCTGGAGGTAACTACTGGATGAAAAGCTGGACATGAGCCACCAATGTGTAGTTGCAGTCCAGAAGGCCAACCACCTCTGGGGCTGCATCAAAAGAGGCCAGCAGACTGAGAGACATGATTCTGCCCCTCTACTCAGCCCTAGGGAGACCTCATCAGGAGTAACGCATCCAGCTTTGGAACCCAAAACACAAGAAGGATGTGGACCTATTGAAGCATGTCCAGAGGAGGGGAACAGAAATCAGAGGGCTGGAGCATCTCACTTATGAAGACAGGCTGAGGGAGTTCAGGTTGTTCAGCCTGAAGAAAAGACTACCGGGGGACCTTATATCAACCTTCTAATACCTGAAAGGAGCCTTTAAGAAGGCTGGGGAAGACCTGCTCACTAGGGTATGTAACAACAGGACAAGTGGTAATGGTTTCAAGCTATAGAAGGGACAGATTTAGGCTGGATATTAAGGAAAAGTTATTTAATATGAGGGTGGTGGATCACTGGAACAGGTTGCCTGGAGAGACAGTGGGGGCCCCACCTCTGGAGACATTCAAGGTCAGGCTTGATGGGGCTCTGAGCAATCTGTTCTACTGTGAGATGTCCCTGCTTATTGTAGGGTTTGGACTAGATGACCCTTAGAGGTCCCTTCCAACCCAAGACATTCTATGATTCTAATATCTCAACTGTAATACCTTCTCTAAAGACTACTGTAAACTCACTTTGCCCTCCTCTTCGCTCCTAATGCTACATAGCCCATCCAACATGCAATCATTACTGTCAAGCTTGAGAAAACACAGAAGGATTCTCCCTTCCAAATACACAGTGGACGAATGAGCTGCTGTCTACCTGCTGTAAGACTAGCTAGCACAGAGTATCACCTACAGGCAGAAAGCATCTTCTCTCAGAGAAGTATGCAAACCCATCTCACCTCATGGTAGAAGATAGAGAGACAGTAAGATGTTCACTCCAGAGAAAGGCAGAGGTAAAACTACATTTTAAAATAACGTTGACAACTTTTTTTTTTTTTTTTTTTTTTACACGAAAGTACTGCATTTTATTGCTTACGCATCTCTGATGGCCTTGAGTGTTTTTCTGTTCTCAGTTCCCACATCCATCCTTGCTGGTCACATTACTTGCTGGCTACTGCTTTAAGCAAGGATGTTCTGTTCATAGAGAGAAAAAACCCTCAACCCATATTACTGTTGCGCAAGATTCATTTACACGTTTACAGAATAGTTTAAAAGACAGCTGATGCGGAGCTGACACAGCAGATGTAGAAAACAGGCTCTAGATAAAGGCTTCAACTGCTCAGTGTAAGGTTAATTCTAAAAATTTTGAAATATTCTACAGAGCAATGCCAAGGCAGAGACATTTAAAGCAGATGATTTCACATATGCTATATTAAGTCTCATTATTCACATTTAGTAGATTTCTGTCAGCTACCTTTGGTACTAAGAACTAAGCACCTCCAAGGAACAAATGAACATTTTTAGAATACTGAACATCTCAATAGGTCAAGGGCTCCTTGAAAGTTCTTTGGACAACTAGTAAGTACAGTTCACTTATGCAAGTATGACCTGTTTTATCAGCGGCAGATGAAATCCTATTTAAAAGCATAATTTCTAATTAGAACAGAATAGACTATTTTCAGTTGGTCCTACAGAGATCTAACTGCCCAATTCAAGGCTGACCAAAAGTTAAAGCACGTTATTAAGGGCATAGACCAAATTCTGCTTAAACAATGACAGGCATGGGGGACCGACCACCCCTCTAGAAAGCCTGTTCCAACGTTTGAACAACCTGTTAGTAAAGAATATTCTTAATGTCCACTCTGAACATCCCTCAAATTGTTCCTAAGTTATTTTGGATGGTGTTCATATACTGTTAGTGCCAGGTAATAATATTAGGATTTGATCCTGTTACTTTGTTTATGTGAACACTTGTGCAAGTGTACACATAATTATTTTGCTTCTGAGTGCTTCATGAAAACTATGTTTAATAAGGTTCTCATTGTAGATGAAAGAATACAACATGTAACCGTTAGGAGCTGTAACATTTAAGTATTATGCAAGGAAATGCCACATATGGATTGTCGTAACAGTAAGAACCATGCTGCAGCTTGTGAACATGCTGCTGAAACTCCTTTTTGTAAGTTTATCTGCTACTTATCTTTTGCTGATGAAAATTTGGAGCAATTATTTTTTAATAGCAATTTGGAAAACATCAGGGAAGTTTTAAACACAAATCCTTTCACTGCTTATTATAGTTTGTGTGAAATGTTAATGCAAAATCATTTCAACAAACATTTACTAAAAAATCTAGCATATCTCCAAATCTGTTGAATTTGGGTAAAGGTTTTACATTACTCCCCTATCAATTTTCTATACTAAATAATTTCATTTTAAACACCTGTGAGATTTATTAGTCAGAAGAATTATTTATTATTCAGAATTACTAGAGAAAGATTCTGTTACTTAAAGGGCTTATCTTTGTATCAGATGGAATAGAAAATAATTATGCACCATCCACATTCTTGTCCCACTTTACTCCTATTTTAAAATGTATGCTACAGAGATGAAAATAAAAGGCTATCTTAATTCCTGTAACGGTACATATCCCCTGTCTCTGTCAATGAGGCATTTAAAAGCGCCTCTTTATTAGAAACACAAATCAATACACTCAGAGGACTGCAATAACTGCTTCAAGCAATTTGTATTATCATTTCATTCTTGATGTTCCTACTCAGAGCAACTTATTATAAATAGCTTGAAAATGGCAACCTGTCACAATTGATTTTTTTCTAAACCTCTTGCAAGAATTTTTTCCTCTCTTAATATAATTAAGTATCTTTCTACTAAATACATGTCCTAGGTTGTAAGATACAACCTACAATTGAAGTTTCATTTCTGTATAATCAAGGGCCCTCCCCGACTCACATTAGAAACATTACCAATAAAATGAAGAGCTATTTGCTTTGTTTTGAACTGAAAGAACCTTGTAAAGAGAGAAGCACTAAAACTTCTGGTATCTCTTCAACAGACAAATCTCTTGACACTGTTTTCATTGCTTACAAAAATCCCTGAAGAGCGTTCTGGGTACTGATGGGGATTTCAGTTATCCTGCTCTACTTCCCCTGGGAGCCTGAATAAATTTTAACATTCTGTTATAAACATTCCTTAAAACTACTGTGAAGCTTTGGCCAAATACTTAACAGTAAAATAACTGGAGAGAAGTTGAGTGGGAATTAATATCTAGCTGTGAAATAGAAACAGAAGTCTGAAGATGGTAACTTCTACTTCAAAGACAAACGTTTCCCTTAGTACCTGTAACTCTCCTAGCTGAAGGAAGAATAATTTTGCTTCTGAAATAAGACTGATTCAAGAGTGTCATACCAAAGTTCAAGTCAGTCCAGCACATACAAAATACATCAGAGTAAGAGCTTGTTGAGTTTGGGGTTTAGGTGCATCTATTCTTAAGTTTTATGAAAACAAAGGTACAAAATCCCACATTAAGGTTAACTTGCCTTGTTTTTTGGATTGGACGTGTTCATTACACTTCGAGTTTCCTTGCCTGTGTAAATGACTACACCGATCACAGTTCCTGAAAAAGAAACAAAGTAAAACAGAGATGTCAGAGAAAATTTGTCTGAAATAAAACTTGCAGTAATTTACAGTCCCTCAAACAAATCAATTTTATGAAAAAGCTGAAGCATTGGGAATATTGGTTTTCAGAACTGACTATAAGGGATCACTATAATTTCTTTGATTAATACCATAAAAATGACAACATTATTTCCTTCTTTTTAATGGAAACAAATGTTTTCAATATAACTGGTGAAGAACTTATATTTGAACTTTAAACTGTCTCCAATTGTTTCCAGAAGTTAACACAGCATAAATAACTGCCCTTCAAGAGGAATACAAAAATAAGTACAATGGCACTGAACTTGCCTGCTAGTTCTGTGATCTTAAATGATGTCAAACCTAGTTCAACCAACTAATTAGTTTGATAGAACACATACAAAAAAATGTTGTCCTGTTCATCATGATTTCCCAATTTGGGTTATGGTTTAGTCAATTTTTACTGGATGGTATAAAAAAAAACACAGCACCACTAAGTTTATTTTTTATATTAAATAAAAATGTAGGGTTTTATTAATATACCACTGACACACTTTCTAGCATAAGAACAAAATCCTTACTTATATTATATTTTCAAGTTTCCTGAAAGGGCTTTAACGCAGTACAACCAATAACATGGTATTTTTTGCTGTCTTTAAGCTATAAAGAAATACTCAGCATAACTGTCAGAAACATTGCACTCATAAAACTTTAACAACCATACAAGTATTACACTTGCAGTGTAACAGGTTATAAAAAAATTGAAGGAACAAAGAAAAATGACAGTTAAAAGATGTTGGCATTAAAGAAAGGAAGTTTCACTTACTCAGAAATAAGAATGCAAGTGAAAACTTTGAATCCACGTAAAAAACAGCAGTGATTATTTTGTGGACAATTAATAATTAGTTTTTCTATTATTTTCCCCTCTGTACTAAAGCTTTTTCTTAAGACTTCCCTGGATGTAACATTTTTTGCCAAAGCTAGTTTGCCTCTACTCAGAGTTCCACATGCATATCTGCACTTAGTATATAAGTAACATGCCCCCAAAACACCCTCAAATTCCTCCTGACTTATGTAAAATAATAGTAATTGACCTATAATTTCGGGACTCTTCCTATTAGTCTCCAACCAATGCTGATATCTCTTTGTGGCACTTTATTTTGGAGTGATCCTTTGAGGTGATCTCTGTACAATGGTCAGAACACACTGAATGATGTTCTGTAGGGAATCCCCTCTTGTACATCCCAACAATGTGCCTTTATAGATGCTCAGTTCAGTAGATGTTGGGGAGGATTTCTTTGTTCCAGCTGGCATCTTTCCACTACGTTTCACGTGGCTACCTCGTTTTAACTCAGGAAAACAGGTTGTCCTACTTGTCTCATATTTTACTCCTTGAAAAGTTTGGTTTCAAACACTGAAGTCAGATACAATACTTTTTAACGACTGAATTTTGATCATAGTTTTCACTAAACGTGACTGAACTGCTACTTTTACTGTGGAGTTGATCTTTCATTTTAAACTTTTCAAAGCTGTTAGTTACTAGCACAGAATCACTAATAAATGAGGTCTCCAAGCTTATTTTTACTGTTGTCCCACAGTGGTTGCACCAGGGACAGTTTTGGTGTTCTGAGAGATTGTTACCCACTGTTGTCTCTTTCTCCTCAGCAAATCTAAGGTTAACATCAGCTGTGAAGAATGATGCATACTTGCACTAAACCCCACCTTGGCCCACAGCAGAAAGATCTGAATCCGATTTGGGGTTCCTGGATGCACAGCTGTACATCAAGCCTGGGCTTATCAAATGCAATGACTCAAGTATTTTTATGTCTGGGCCTCCATGGAAACTGGCTCTCATGTAAATTGGGCAACCACTGATTGGTGAGGGCAGAGAGATTAACAAAGGAGAAAGAAGTGACAGGAGATACCTCTAGAATAAACATGTGAACCTGAAAAAAAGATATTAAAGATGACTTGGGCAGAATTAACACACAAACAGTCAGACGTGCTCTGAAAACGTTGAGTGATCCTGTTAATTTTTGCTATGTCTCAAGCACTATGTGAACCATTTAAAAACAAGAGTGCTCAAATTAATTAAAATCGTGTGTAGGACTTGGCACAAAATAGTGCTTTTTACAGCTGTGCAGTTATACAGATTGTTCCAATTTTACCTAAAGTGCCTTTGCAAGACTGACAGCTGCCAAAATGATGACAAAATTCCATTAATACACATCTCCTCTTAATAGATATCACTGCAGGTCTCTCAGAAAACTGCATTATCCTGTTTAGAGATTGAACCACACTGATCATTATAGTCAATGGAGAGCAAAACACTGAGGTCCATCCTGCACTGGACCTTTTGAGGCTTTTTTAATATTTAACTGCTGACTTTCCCCACTCCCATTTTTCAAAAAGAAATTGAAATCTACCAAAGCTTTTAATAAACACAAACACCACAGTCAGTGAGTGATGTCATGAACACAAATTACCTGAAAGATAAAGTTATCCTCAATTAAATTACTTAAGACTTTGTCAAAATACTTAGTGGCTTAAAGTATTTTGTCATGTTTCAAGTTGTTTCTTCAGTGATGGCAGTTTTTCAAGTTTTCACCATCCAAAACTTCTTTCCTTCAGGCACTGTTGTTAATTTCACAGCAATAATGCAGGTATTAAGAATGGTACATAGACTTCATACCTTGCTGCTATGTTTTTGAAACTCATTGGGGTATTGCCAATAAATGGAAAGCTAGTTTCAATTATTGAAGAACAGCAAAAAGATAAGTGCATGCTTTGGACTTGAAAGAGGGGCTTTAGATTTCTACCCCTGCCAGGAGTTTCCAGTGTGATTCTGGCAAATTAGTCTCTGTACTTTCTTTGATTACGATAAACATCACACACAAAGTCATCAGATCTCTACCAGGGCTTTATAGCAGTGGGCAGAAAGCACTTCAGATTTGGTAACAGTAGCAATCTCCATTTAGATTTCTAAACTACGAATTCTGAGACTATAACACCTGGGCATATAATATATACTAGGTGTGACAAAAAGGCATTTTTACTTTTTTTTCCATTTAGCTTACTACTATTCTAAGGGGTAAGGAGATGTACTGAAACTAGGAAAAGTAAACACCTTCACAATGTACAAATCTAAGGAATCTTACTCTCTTAATCTGTTAATAAAAAAAGGACATGGAATATTTTGCTCTCAAATTGCTCAACACTACATGATTTTATTGAACCAATTTTTTGGTTCCCAAAATTAAAAAAGAAAAATAGTCTTAGATTATAGCAAATGTTTACTTGTCAGTTGTACTGGTCTAGGAATAAGCTATTTTTTTTCCCTGTAGAATCCATTACTGTAGTATCACGATATTTTCATGAACTTTGGTCTTCTGCATTCAACATGTAGTTGATAAGTTTCCTTGAAACCTTTGTATACTTACATCTGCTGTTACTGATCTGCAAGATAATTGATTTGTGGTCTCTCTCCTCTAGAACTGTCAGGACATCAGCAATCAGAGCTCAAGTGTTCTGAGGTGTTCCCCACATAATTCCCCAAACACTTTTTCTAAGCCTGACCTTGACCCTCTGTATCACCTTGACAAATAAGAATAGCATGTGTCTTCGAAGACAGTGGGCTCTCCTAGCTGATGCAACGTGTTTTGTATGTCAAAAGGAATATCAGGAAATTCAGCATATATTTTATCATTGGAAGGAAAAAATGGGAAGGAGAACATCCCTTGCCCAACAATTGTCCTGTACATCCTATGCAAAACCTTATTTAAAATTCAATAAAGCTTTAGTCAGTAACAGGTCAATATAATAGTGCAGGTTGACCCAGAATGCTTTGTAACAACCTCCAAGAGGTCAGCAAGGGCTTAACACAGTCCCAGGAGCAATAGGTCACATATTTGCTTGGCTTAGTAACAGATGATGCCAAGGCTGCAGCCTTTCAAGCTGGATGCCTTAGAGACTGCCATACTGAAGTGTCTGAAGGAAAATGGGAAGACATACATGCAATGTTGCAGGGCAGAACTCAACCCTCTACCATATGGGCACTGGCTACAAACCCACTTTCTTCAATAAAAGTGGCAAAGTAACAGAAGATTAAGCTTGCACATAGACACTGTAAACTTTTGTGTGCAAACTGCCTGCATGTAACAGAACTGTGAGCCTGGACAGTAGACTGAAGTAAGATACAAGTGTGGCTGAGATGAGGTAGCTACCTACAGAGTAGAAAAAAAGTACAGACTTTTCACATGCTGCAGGCTGTTTGCTCTTCTGTTTTCATGGAATCTGAGAGGTACTCACCTAGAGCTGTTTTGTGCAGGAAAAACCTTCCACTACATTTTTCAGATATAATCAAGGATTGTGACAAGGCCATGGTAAGAGAGGGGATGAAGAGGTGCCTGAAGCTTGTGCAGGCAGTCTGCCTTTGACATCCGGCTATGCCAGACTTTAAGCAAGGTGGCTTATATGTGTATAAATGCAGTAAGACAGTGTTAAGTGTTTCAATTAACAAAATTTTCAGTTGTGACAAATGTTGCAAATTCAATTGTGAAGTTTAATTTAAAAAAAAAACAAGAAAAAACAACCGACATCTAAAAATTCAAATTTAATTAGCATACTATCAAGTATCCTAACTTAGCTATGTACATTCAACTTGAAAGTGAGATGGAACCAACAACTGAATGATAAATCAGTTATGAATCAAATCTAGAACATCTTAGTTTTAACAATCCACTAATTGTTTTGTCTTATGGTCTACTTCATGACTGGATGCACAGTGCACCTGTAAGACCTTATCAGTTCCTTATTACGTAAGAAACAGACTGAAGGTAGTATTTTCCTACTCTTCACTAAAGGCCTAATCCTGTCAAATGCTAAAGTTAACAGAGGTGCTGAGTAGTTCTTAAGATCCGGATTTATGATGCCACACAGAACAAGCAAAGACCCATACAGAAATCTTACTTGCTTGACAACTGCAGTACTTACATGACAGGAACACGTTATCACAGTATTTAATTAATACATGAGGTGACATAAGTGAAATGAGTGATATGCCAAAATTTAGGTTAAGAAGATTAATGTCACAAAATCAGTTACTAAATTCCTCTGCTACTTTAATTCAACCAAATTCTGTATGCACATCATGACAGCATTTTAATTACTTGATCACACACTATTTTTTGTCAGAGAGGGCTGCAGTCTTGAAGAGCCATTTAATATGTTTACTTTGTATTGTTCAGTAATTTGCCAAGTCTCCTTTGGAGTCTTCTTCCACTGTTCAAAATCATGCTCCAACAAGAAAATTATCTTCTCCAATGTTTTTCTGCTGCCATCATTAATAATGAACTTAAGTCCTTCATAAACCATTAAACCTTCACAAAAGCCCTCAGAAGTAAAAAGGAAAAATAACCAAAACATATGCTAAGGCATTAATTTTAAGGAGTAGTGTTTCCATTAATTTGGCAGATTAAGATGCCTCAGACATTAGCTACACTTCAGAACAAAACCAAACTATCTACCCTGGAAATGAAAATATGAATGGCTTTCAATTAAAATTAAAAATTACCAACTCAGAATTACTGACTTTGCAAATGTATACTCTTTGAGCACAGATTTCTCTATATATAAATTTGTGGAAAAGCAAACTCAAAACATTTACACAGTATTGAAAATTTGTAGTTCATGAGCAGCATTTTTGTTTTTAAACAGTTAGAGATCCTGGCTACTTAAGTTAAAAACCTAACTAGAAACCACTTTTGGCATCATCTATTTGACAGAACAGTTTTAGAGATAATAGCTTCCCACTGCAATCAAACCAAACAACGACTATCAAAGAACCTGTCTTCAGACTGTGGAAACTAGTGCTCAGTCACAGACTCCTCTGCCATCTCATCAAACATCATCTCTTCTCCGCAGTCCTCCAGCTGCCCTTTTACTGATGCAAGAAGCCTTCAGAGTTGGGACTAACTTGACAAGTGAAGTAGAGACCCTTCAGTACTTTCTCCCTCTATACCCTTTTTCCTCTTGGCTCTTATTTCCAGTTATTTGAATTTCCTAACTTAAATCTTAGATCCTTTTCAGAATAACTGCTCTGTAAATTCCTTATTCTCATTTTGTACAGAAGAATAACCACAGCCCTTTTTCTACAGTACTTTTGACTTTTCTTACACAGAACAAAACCAGAAGATAATAATTTTCTGCTCTTAAAACAGAAAAATTACAATGGCTTAAAAACTGAATGCAACATCTAGACACACTGAACTCCTAATATTAAAGACACATGGAACATTACTAATATTAAGACTCCATTATTTTAAAATTATGTAACTGTATAACTGAACTATACTTTCTGATTAAAATTTTGCCTGGTTAAAGATTTTAAGCAAACTTTACCTACAGCACAGAGTATGCATAAAAGAAAAAACTCCTAACAAATGCAAAGCCTTGTTTCCAACATGAACCTATCAACAGTGAGCTAAACAGAGCACTTCACAACCTGAAGTTTTAATTCAAACAGAAAAGTCAGTGACTTTAGTGGGATACAAAGGACAGCACTACTGAAACAGCAAAATTTAAGTAAAAAAAGAGTAACTATTAAGGAGCATTTAAAAGACAGGAAAATAATGTGAATAGCATGAAGAAACTGATGGGAAGGCAGACAACACAGAAGATATTAACTGCATGGAAAACAAAACGATTTCAAAAAGCCAATAACATTTCATATTGTAAAAATAAAGATATGTTTCCACAGACGTTTTTAGATAAATTACCTGCTTTTCTGTTGCAACACTTACCTGAAGCAACAACAGTGCTTGCCCATAACGTATTTTCTATGCTTAGGCTTTCATGAACTGCTGGATCACTGTCCTCCTGTTAAAAAAATGAACAGCTAGTAAACCAACATCACAAACAGTCATAGTTAAGAACAATGCCAAGCCATCTGAAGAATAACAACTTGCACAGGATGTCTGCATCCTTGTATCAATCATAGTTTAACTGCACACACAAAAACAACTTTTCAAAAAAAATGAAATCAGGACTGAAGTTCATGTTACTTAAATTCAATTAAAATGACATAAGTCAATAGTATTTTAAATGGAACATATTATTTTTCTCAGATGCATAAAACTGCCAAACAGGTTGCTACACCAAGAAGTTCACAGGAGTTACTAACAGTAACCACCAAAAATCAACACCCTGTTCTCTATCGGGGTATTATCTATAATTCATGTAGTAAGTTACAGTAATCATTCCGCAGCCCAAGTGGCATCATAGCAACTTCAGGGAAGATTATTTAGAGTTCTAAAATGAAATGCACACTTGTGTTGTCTTACTACATACTTACAAAATATATAACCAATGGGAAAAGACTTCCAATAGGAAACTGCTTCCACAATAATTTTAAACTTTACTTTTTTTACTCCCCTCTCCTCCCAAGCAATGAAGGTTGACCGAGTGTAAATAGACTTAATCTCTCATAATCAATTTGGAGCATTTACAGATTTGTTACTCGTTAGCAGCTGTGAAATGTGCTGTTTACAACTGAAGGAAACTTTAGGAGGTAGAATAATCAAGTGTATTGGATTACAGATTGTGCTAAACATCTTGCAGGAAAAGGGGGACCACTGATTTTCCATGTACATAATAAATCCTAGAAAATGTCAACAATCAAAACTTACAGACATTTTTATCTCTGAGTTGAAACAAACACCAAGCACAGGATGAGTTGCTTAGTAATCTCCTTAGTTTTAGACTTTTCTTTTTTTAGGAACACATTTGTGTGTATTTCAAAAGATCCCTACATATAAAGGAAACTACAATTCTTATTCTTTTAAGTGAAGCAAACTCAGTCTCAAAAAATTATGATGTGGGAACTTCCGAGACTCTTGTGCAGAGGCATTACCATCTCCGTACTCTAGTCTTTTTCTCTTTCCCAGCAGTCTGCTTCTGTCAGAAATAAGATATTAAGCTAGGAGAATTTTTTTCTTACTGTTTATTCTTCTTTCAGCAGATTTTAAGACAGTGAATTATGAAACACTTCCATACTACAAGAAAGACTCAAAACCCCTGCAGTAATTACGTTAAGCTGACAACAGTCATGAAAAAGTTAACTTGTTCAATGTCTATCTGTTACACGAAATGCTTCCTTTTAGGTCATTTAAAATAGAAAGCCATCTAGCAAGCTATATCTCTTCCCACTCACACCATGATGATCAACAGAATGCTTTGGCTGATGCGTTAGTTTTGCCTTATTTCATGATGATACTTTCATGTCTTTATGCCCTCCTCTAACATTTCCACTTTTCCACAGTTCATTCAATTTACCAAATTACCTCACCTTCCATACCTAGGTGACAATTTAACCTCATTTTTCAATTGTCATAAATTACTTAAGTGGCAAATAAAAAGTGTATTTACAGGTAACAAGTTTAGCTGTTTTACTTTTTTTTTTTTTTTTTTTTTT